TAAGGGGGTGGAGGAGGAGAGTAGCTCGAGTATGAAGAGGAGAATTTATATGAGAGAATTATGATGAAGAGAGATGAAGATAAGATAGGAGAGGATTGAGAGAGAAGACGTGAAGTGAGTGGAGTGAGTGTAGACGTGAAGTGATATAACTATATATACTGAGATATATATAAGAGTGAAATGTCGATGTGAATATGATAAGGTTGATGGAGAGAGAAGAGAGAGAGAGAGCGAGAGAGAGAGAGGAGGGTGTCCCGAGAGGAGAGATGGGAGAGAGAAGAGAGAGATAGAAAGAGAAGAGAGAGAAGAGAGGAGAGACGAAAAAAACTCGGACAGAAAGAGAAACATAGACAAAGGACCACAGAGACAGAAGAGGGAAGGCCCGCGGGACAGAGGGAGAGAAAGAGAGCGACGGGGCGAGGGCGCTAGAATGGTGGCACCGCCCACACGCCCTCGCTTCCCGCCCACATCTCCGGCCTGAAGCAGCTGGTGTCACCCTCCACCCCGGCCCTGTCATGACGCATGGACGAGGCCGCAGCTGTCGTGCATAATAACGTAAGAGCTGCTATCCCAGGCCGGCACCTCCCTCCTACCCCGTCCTGGCACATCCCTCGACATCCTGGCAGCGCCTCGGCGGGCGAGTGTGAGGGAAGGAGGGAAACGCGTGTTGGCTCAGATGGGTGCCACGCGCTTCGGGCATAATGATTCGCACAATTGGCTACTTACTGCGAGGAAGCAAAGATGAGACGGCGGGATGATGCCGTCCAGCGCAGAACCAGTGCCAGCGCCACACATCCAGTCTCCCTTGCTCGCTCGTACTCGCATATCGGCACCGTGCATAACCATTTTGAAGCGTCAAACGCCTGACATCAGTGTTACCAGTGGCATCAGCCCTGTTTGCCTCACCCTCGCTGGCAAGTCCACTTAACAGCCGCCTCTCCTCGACTCGCTAATTGACAAGCAAAAAGATAACAATAAGCAAAACCCATAAAAAACTAACAACAGCCAAATTTCTCACTGTAGGAAAAGAAAACACGGTTTATTTTTATTATTAACTGCTTATCCACGGAGATGCAGCCGTGGGTATTAAGACAGTCCCCTTTCTAAGCCAATTAATTCTAACGTTAAGAACAAACAAAATCAAAGGAGAGTGCCCCTCCACCCCAAAAACAACGCACCTAGCAATACACTACCTAAAATAACCAGCCAACGGTGGGTTGAGTCTATTACCTTCCCATCCAGCAACCACCTTTGCCCCTTCTCACCTGTCACACACAAACCCGCAACGAACCCTTGACGAAATTGTTCCTGGCTGTCTTGACCTTGCCAGTCCCGTGGGACCTGAAAGGCGATGACAAGCCCCCAAAGCGAAACAAATAAGAGGGACGGAATCGAGAAGAGAGGAGGGAGGCGAGGGACGGTGGAGGAGGAGGAGGGAGGGAGAGGAGAGAGAAGAGACGAGAGAGAAACGAGAGAAACCAGAGACGAGAGAGCTGATAGATTAGAGCCGGAGAAGAGAGGAGGAGAAGGGAGATGAGATAGAGAGCAGAACCGAGGAAGGACCAGAGAGAGATTGTGACACGTACGTGACGTGACGTACCTGAGTGAGGTGCAAGTGAATAGACATGACGAAGACGGACGAGACGAAAGACGGGACTAGAGAGAAAGAAGCGAGAGAGAGACAGACGAGAAGAGTGAAGTGAGAGGTGAGTGAAAGTGAGTGATGAGAGAGAGACGAGAAGAGAGAGAGGACCACGAAGCAGAGAGGACGAAGAGAAGCGGCAGGACCGAGCTAGAGGAGAAGGCGACGAGATAGAGAGCGGTGAGGAGCCATGGAGCACCTGAGACCAGAGAAGCGAAGGGATAGAGAAGAGAAGAGAGAGATCTAGATTTGAGCAAGAGAGAGGGAAGACACACGAGAGAGAGATTAAAAGAGAGAAAGGGACGATAGAGAGAGGAGACGGCTGGAGGGGAGAAAGAAAGAGAAAGAAAGGAGGGGAAAAGGAGCCGATGAGACAGAAAGAGCGAGGGGCAGGGGTAGAGAAAGAGAATGAGGGGCGAGAAAGAAAAGAGCAATTAAAGAGAGAGGAGAGAGCAAGTGAGAGAAGAAAGGAAGAGAGAAGGGAGAGTTATACAGGCCAACGTCATACCAAGGGGCAAAAACAAACACAAATCGATTTCCTCTCGCCCCCTCAAACTCCCACATCACAGCGAAAAAAGGAAGATAAAAAATATATACAGATAAAAAAAAAATGGGCAGCCCGGTCATAGGGCTCCGTCCGGCAATGGATGGAGGTCGGCAGACGGCTCCCTCGTTTCGCTGACCAGCCCATACACTCGCGGCAGACGTGATGGGCGCCACCTGCCCCTGACGCCGTGCAACCCCGCTGTTCGCACACTAGGCTACATGCCCGTGTATAAAAGGGACATATAAGAGCGTCCATGTGTGTATGTTTAAACTT